ATTATATATATTTCAGAATCAGATTTTTATTTGATTAATTAAATGTCACTTAACATGTTCACTTTTACCCTAAACAATTAATCGATCATTGATTAATTATTATCATGCTAAATTCCATTCTATTTTTTCTTCATTCCTCTGGTGTGATACATGGCGCACTGATCTGATACTAAAAGGTGGAGCTAGACACACTGCAGCTCCTTTGACTGGTCAATAGAGAACCGTCACACTTGCTTGACAAGGAGTCAATAAAGAAACTGTAATTTTTGAGTATCCCATTAATTGTGACAAGACACTGTAAACATCCCAGTTATTTCTTATTCTGAGAACATTGGCATGACCTTGTTCCGTGGACCCGAGATTAACTGGTAGATCTTGGAATCCAAGTAGATCACTTGGATCTGAAGCAGATCTACTGGCCACTAGTGATTATTTCCAACACTGCCATGGACGATCAACAAGGTGCAGATGTTCAATGAGACTATCCAGTAACAACCCCGCCCACATTTAAGAGTACTGTCTTTGGTGGAATTGCTAAACACATCTAGGGTCTAGGTACATGTCCATACGGCTTGCGTACCGGTTCTAAGGGTACTGTAGGGAAAATGTTTGGTGGGAACGCGGCTTATACCACAACCTTGCCCATGAGGGAGAGGCTTAGAGTGAGGTGAAACGGTGCTTGAGGGAAATCATCCAATCTTTGATGACACATACTCTTCTGCAACAATGACGCAATCAAAATGCAGCAATATACTAAAGAAGAGGCATTAGAAAATAAAATAAAGGGCAAGACATTACAACACAAAGCATTAATATTTCAGCACCTCTAAGTGGGTAGCGCTTCAAAATACAGAGCCAGAGCTCATTGGGCCGGCGGAGCACCAAAGGTAAAGGAACGTGCTTCTTGTATTTCAAGTCATTCTGCAGTTTTTGTTAGAAAATTAATCAGTTAATTATCTTACTGAGCTATGGAAAGCAAAATGAACCATAACTGACATCCCTAGGTTACACTACGGCAGCTGACTCTTAACTCTCGGTCAGGGGAAGATGGTTTCGTCCATCTTGTCCTGTAGCAGGCTCTGTTGCACTACAACATCATTATGGAGACAGTTATGAAGTTCTGCGGAGGCTCTTGATATTTCCTCAGCTCCAGCCTTTGGTAGCATATAAATGATGGCTGTTAGAAGAATTGATGAAAGGGGAACTGGTGGTAATTGAGCTTCTGTTTCAAAGGCTTGACCCTCAGAAAGAGAAACTACGCTATCACCTTCTTTAAACTAAGCTCTGCACACTCTGTTCTGCAGCCCCGTTTCACAATACCGTTTCTCTCCCCTCACACTTTCTCTCTTTTTTATGCCTCTCTCTCAGCCTCTCTGTCGCTTTCTCATTCTAAGTGTCTCTCCATGCATATTGCTGTCAGTAATGAGTGCCTTATGTGTGCAGCGTAGCGGCAGGGTAGCTGACTATTTTCTTATCTACCTCCAAGCAGCAGAGCACATTGAGCGGCTCAAACCAGCTCGATGCTCGTGTGTGTGGAAGTGTGTGTAGGCACGCGCGAGCCCCGGTGTGTTTATGCGAAAGGCCTCTGTATCTGAGCACTTGCGTGCATGAGCCTTTGTCTCCGTTTGTGTGCGTGCGTCTCTAGCTGGTGTTTGGGATGTGCAGCTCTCTGGCAGTGCCACAGGAGGGGAGTGTTGGTCTGCGTGCCTGTTCCCCACAACCTCCCTCTCCAAATCACAATATGGGAGATTCTCACAGGCCTCATCCTCTTCTCCTGTATCCTTTTTTTCCTCTCTTCACTCTCCAATCCTCAGTATCTCCTTTCTTGGGAATACAGTGCTCCAACAGAGCGAGCGAGAGAGAGAGAGGCTCGACTGTTAGATCTTGGCTTCAGGTTTAAATTAGATTGTATTTAGACTTCCCTAGATTTCCTTTCCCTTGTGTCCGGTGTTTTGTCTGGGTGTTGATCTGACATCAAAAAATTTGATTGTGAGAGAGACAACAGGCGAAACAAGAAACGAGAGGACAAGGCAGAGAAGTAGAGCAGAGGTAAAACAGAAATGGAAGCAAGTTATTTAAGATGGCTTGCCTGCAGGGCACAAAATCACACAATAGTCAGCTGCACAGTAAGAGCAGTCTTATATTCCGGTCTCGGCCCCGTCTGGGTTCATGTGCTTGTAAGACAAACACCTGGGCTTGTGATGTGTGACACTTGTGATCCGCAGTACGTCTAAACTCTTGTCATCTGTTCGAGTCAAAGCCAGCGCACACTGCCGCATTTGTTTAATAAATGATTTAAAAGTCGTCCCTGCTAATGCATTCTGCCCTTGAGCACACATATTAGGAGACTTCTGCACACTAGCTGCTGATTATCATGCAAATGGGGCTAGCCTGGCCTAGCTTAGCCGGATCGGCTCGCTCATTGCTGCAGTACATTTGTCTTGGTAATGCTCCTGTCTAGTGTTATGCATGCATGTTTGAACTGCCTGTAGGTCTGCCTGTGTCAATATGAGTGTGTTAAGTGGTGACAAGCTCCTGTGGGCTCCTGCTGCTGCACATAGTGAGTAGTAAATGTGTGTGTGTGTGTGTGTGTGTGTGTTAGTGTTTGTGTGTGTG